AATTATAGTAGAGGCTTTAGGTAGATACTATCTTAGAAATGCCTCCGTTTAGGGTGATGAATGTTTTAAACGAGAGATTTGCTAGTCCTCAGGAAGTAAATGTTCTCTGTAGCATAGGACTCTAGTTAAGATGAGTAAAAAAGCTGATTGTAGAGCTGTGAGTTCATTTAGGAACCTCTTTTCTTTTTCATTTTGATGAGTAGGTTATTAATTGCAGCAGTTTCCTCATTTTATTTCTTGATACTTTATCATACATCAAAATTTTAAAAAACCTTTCCCCAATTGACCAGTATTCTTATCTTTTTCTTTCTTCTTTATCTTCTTAACTTTTAAAGCATCTCGTTTTTTTCTGACTGAAAGGTTTCTGCCGCCGATTATTTTAGTCGCTCCGATCGTAAGGGAAGTGTTGTCTCCGAGGTGGATGACATCAGTATCCCAGATTTGTCCAGTGTGAGTGTATTGCATGGGGTGTTTGGTTATATTGTCCTAGGCTTGTGACTAACAGCTAATATGTTAGCTAGTTTATAATAAAAGTGGGAACTTGATTTATTGTATCAAGAAATATTTGTTTGGGCCAGGCACGGTGGTTCCTGCTTGTAATCCCAGCACTTTGGGAGGCTGAAGCAGATAGATCACCTGAGGTCAGGAGTTCAAGACCAGCCTGGCCAACATGGTAAAACCCTGTGTCTACTAAAAATACAAAAAAATTAGCTGGGTGTGGGGGCACACACCTGTAATCCCAGCTACTCTGGAGGATGAGGCAGGAGAATCGCCTGAACCCAGGAGGTGGATGTTGCAGTGAGCTGATATCATGCCACTGCACTTCATCCTGGCCAGCAGAGTGAGACTCCATCTCAAAAAAAAAAAAAGCAAAGAAATAATTGTTTGAACATGTTAACATCAAATACATGTGCTCTGTTTTGGAATGTATTCATTAATATGTCCTTTTTATAAAAAACCTTTTCTCCCTCTGTGAAAATATCTCCACATAGAACTCATCAGCATCTGCAACAATTATCAATATTTTGCCAGTGTTGTTTCATGGATTTCTTTTCCCTTCCCTCTTTTCCCTGAATTATTCTAAAGCAAATCTCACATCCTGTCATTTCCCAATAAATAGTTAAATATGTATCTCTAACTGAACATTTTTCCAGATCTTTTATATCATTATCATAACTAATGAAATAAGTAATTTTTTTATCTTTTTAAAAATTTTTTCATTATTCTTTTCTTAGTAGTGTGAAAACGGAATAAGTAAATCTTTAGTATCATCTAATACCTAGCCCTTATTCAGACATTCGTTATTGGTTTAAAAAATTATTTTTCCTCTTTGGTTTTAGTGAATCTATAAAGTGATAGGTAGACTTTGAAAGTTGAATAATGAAATATACTACTTAGTAAAGTGTCACTAATTTGTACTAACTTGTAAGAATCTGAATTGATTTTAAACATTTGGATTATGGCATTGTTCTGAAGAAGTGTGCCTATCCATTGCTTCCATATTCATCAGGAACCAAATTTAGGAAAGGTTGTCCTTGGGGCATTTGTCTTAATGAGTGAACTCCAGCCAGCAACTTAGGATCTCCCTGCTCATCTCAAAATAACGGCCTGATTTCTCTGTGGCACATCTCCTCTCTTGATGACATTAGTGATGTTTTGTTCATAGACCAAGACTATACCATTTGGAGGGGGTGAGAAGCAGCATCTTCCTTCCTTCCTTCCTTCCTTCCTTCCTTCCTTCCTTCCTTCCTTCCTTCCTTCCTTCCTTCCTTCCTTCCTTCCCTCCCTCCCTCCCTCCCTCCCTCCCTCCCTCCCTCTTTCCCCTCCCTTCCTTTCCTTCCTTCGTTGCCTTCATTTCCTTTCTTTTCTTTCTTTTCTTTTTCTTCTTACTTCAGCCTTCCCAGTAGCTGAGATTACAGGTGTGCGTCATCAGGCCCAGCTAATTTTAATATTTTTTGTAGAGCTGGAGTTTGCTGTGTTGCCCAGGCTGGTCTCAAGCTCCTGACCTCAAGCAGTCCACCTGTCTCAGCCTCCCAAAGTGTTGGGATTACAGGCATGGGCCACCACTCCTGGCCAACATTTCTTAATAGAACAGTTAGACATTCATTTTTAAATGAATAAATAATTATTTATAATTAGCATTTCACTGATCATATTTAAATAGCTATTTCTGAACTATTTTAATTCTAGAAGATAATTTCATTTTTGGTCCTTAAATATTCCAGATCATTGGTTCTCAAATCTGGCTATGCAACAGTATCATCTTGGTGTGGGTCAAATGAGTAACTCTCTCTGCATACAAAGTTAGAACACTGGATTCCAAGTCATTCCCCTGAAATATTGCCCTTTTTAAGTTGCCTAGTAATCCCTTCTCTGTGCCCCCACCCCCATAGTATAGATAAGTAAATTTATTGTTTACATCTGTTCTCTTAAAAACTGAATTCTGTCAGCCTCTTAATTTATAATGTCTGAATTAATAGTTATGTTTTTCTTATATTTCTTTTGTGGTGATTCACTTTAGTAATTACATATAAGTGAAAACACTGAAAGATTAAAAAACCTCCCCCTTCCCCTACTAGTTAAATATAACTCTTTAACATAAGCAAAAGGTTTTCTAGAGCAGGGATTTACAAATCTGGCTAGCCCCCTGTTATTTTACAGTCTTCAAGCCACTGGTTTATTTATACGTATGTGTGTATACACAACAGACACACACATTTATATATACATATATGTGTGTATGTGTACATATATAAATATATATATTTTTAAAGACATGGGGTCTTGCTCTGTCTTGCAGACTGGAGTGCAGTGGGGCCATGATAGCTCACTGCAGCCCCAAACTCTTGGACTCAAGTGGTCTTCCTGCCTCAGACTCCCAAAGCGCTGGGATTACAGGCAATGTGTATATTTTTAAATGGTTATATATAAGTACCTTATCCTTAATTTTGCCTCCTGGCAAAGCCTACAATATTTTCTAGACCTCTCTCTGGAGCAAATAACTTTCTCTAGTAGTATTTCTTTTAAAGGGTATGCTGTAGTCCAGCTCATCTTGTAGATGAATACAATGGAGACTTGATGTTAATAGACCCCCTCCCCTCCCACTTTTATAAAAAGATAAGCCGGAAATCTCCATTTCAACATGAAATATTCTGATTTTAAAATATTGGCAATGAATTCAGAATTCTAAAAGACATTTTCTAGTTACTTATTGTGTACTAAGTATGTTTGTAAGCTTATAGTTCATAACTTCTGAGCTAGCAGGTGCTGAGAAAGGGTGCCAGGTCATGATTCTGCAAGCCTATGTAATATTTTTGGTGGCTCTAGACTCTTATTTTCTTCTCCATTGGCTTTTTTTCTGTTTTGTAAGTCAGGCTACAATAAAGGAAACAAATGGAAATGTATTTTAAGTAAAACTGAAATTTTGCCAATTGTTAATAATTAAACCCATTTCTAAATGGAATCCTTAGCCAGTTTGGCAGTAGGAAATTGTTAAAATCGATTGATGTCTTCCTGTCTGTGGTTGAGGAATCAGATATTTTTTCAAACAATTTTTGAGTAGCATTATCGTTAGTATATATATAAATTAGAAGTTAATAAAGGATTAAGATCCAATGACTGCATTAAAGAAACTACACTGTAAATACTTTATTACAGTTTTATACCTTAATATATTAAATATGGTTAATTTTATTCCATTTTAAAAGCTTTTTTTCTGGATCTGGCAGATTCTGGATCATCATTATGAGCATGAGCTTGTCTTTGCATTGCAGCCATGTGGAACTCTTGGCTGTTGGATCCTCTTGGGCTTTTAGAATACCAAGTTTCAGCTAGGTATTTTTCTAAATGGAAGACAGCACATAATATAGTACAAGTCTCAAAAGTGAGAACTGGGCAAGTTAGTGTAGCCAAAATAAGAGACTGTGTCATGGTGGCTTTGGGTAATTTTTGCTGGCTTGACAGTCTCTGAGGTTTGGTGTATGATCAGTTTGTGTTTCGACAATTGGGATCTGTCAGAAGACAGTGAAAGCAATAGAGTCAACATTGTGATATATTAGTTCAGCGATATGACCTCTGAAATGTAAGATTATTCCAGGCTCAGCCTGTTAAAAACTGGGTGAGTTTGGAGGTCATTTTTGTGAGAAGTGGTTATGAGGAGGGATTTCAAATAAACTTAGAAGACTGTTTTAATTTTGAATACTGCTTGCATTTCTCTTTAACACATTGGCAGAAAAGGGTTGGAAAATATTCTGAGGAAAATAAGGCAGTTTATTCAAATATAATATTTATTTCACCTTGAAGAATAATACATTAAATATTGGGCAATGCACTATAGATGAATAAAATAATTTTTTATGGCAATAATTGGCAATATAGTATTTTAAAACAAATTTCAGGCTGGATGTGATGGCTCATGCCTGTAATCCTAGCACTTTGGGAGGCTGAGGTAGGTGAATCACTTGAGGTCAGGAGTTCCAGACCAGCCTGGCCAACATGGTGAAACTCCGTACTTCTAAAAATACAAAAAAATTTAGCCAGGTGTGGTGGTGTGTGCCTGTAATCCCAGTTACTTGGGAGGCTGAGGCAAGGAGAATAGTTTGAACCTGGGAGGCAGAGGCTGCAATGAGCCAAGATCGCGCCATGGAACCCCAGCCTGGGTAACAGAGTGAGACTCTGTCTCAAAAAAAATAAAATTAAAATTAAAAAAAAATCGGCCGGGCGTGGTGGCTCACGCCTATAATCCCAGCACTTTGGGAGGCCGAGGTGGGTGGATCACGAGGTCAAGAGATCGAGACCATCCTGGTCAACAAGGTGAAACCTCGTCTCTACTAAAAATACAAAAAGTAGCTGGGCATGATGGTGTGTGCCTGTAGTCCCAGCTACTCGGGAGGCTGAGGCAGGAGAATTTCTTGAACCCAGGAGGCGGAGGTTGCAGTGAGCCGAGATCGTGCCATTCAACACAAGCTGGGGAAAAAACACTAAACCTCGTCTCCAAAATAAAAAAATAAAAAAAAAAATTAAAAAAAATCATTTCAGTCACTGTCTTTACCTGCTTTGAAACATTTATATGTTGTTTAAAAAATCAAAATGAGGCCTAGAGTGCAGCAAGATGGCTGCCCCCGTGGATCTTGAGTTGAAGAAGGCCTTCATAGAGCTTCAAGCAAAGTTATCGACACTCAGCAGAAGGTGAAGCTGGCAGACATACAGATTGAACAGCTAAACAGAACAAAAAAGCATGCACATCTTACAGAGATCATGACTTTGGTAGATGAGACTAACATGTATGAAGGTGTAGGAAGAATGTTTATTCTTCAGTCCAAGGAAGCAATTTACAATCAACTGTTAGAGAAGCAAAAAAATAGCAGAAGAAAAAATTAAAGAACTAGAACAGAAAAAGTCCTACCTGGAGTGGAGCGTTAAGGAAGCTGAGGACAACATCAGGGAGATGCTGATGGCACAAAGGGCCCAGTAGGGAGCCTCTCGGGGAAGCTCTTCCTCTTGCCTCTCCCATTCATGGTGGGGGCAGAGGAGTCTCTGCAGGGAAACAGCTCCTCCTCTGCCTCATGGCTGCTTCATCTGGATGGCCTGACAACGTCACATTTTCTGCATCACCCTGAGCCCCTTTTGCTTCCCAGCCCTGGAGTTTTTACCCTGGCTTTACCTCCCACCTCGGCCCAGGACACTCTTCCCTCTCAGGGTGTGTGATGAACTCTCAGGAGAGGGAAGATGGGAGCCAGGGCAGATAGGAAGCTCTGCCTGAGCTTTCCACTGGGCATGCCAGCCAGACCAATAAAAAGTGTCCACTCTGCTAAGCCTGCGTTTCTTGAGCTGAGGGATGGAACAGAGGGTTAGAGAGGCAGTGGCCGTCTCCACCTCAGCTCCTGCTCCCTCTGCATTGGAGCCCTTCCTTCCTTGGGGGATGGGCTTTTGCCCTCTTCTCTTTTCCCTTCCTGTACCTTTGACTAACCCCTCAGCTTCCGGGCCTGCATGTAGTAGACAGAAGAGGAAGAAAGAACACTGACATTCACAGCTGAATAAGTGAACAGGATAGCAGTCCCTGGATGGCAGTCTGCCTCAAGATTCCTTTTCCTGGCTTCTCCCATACATTCCAAAAGGAAGTTCAACAGTCAGCAGCACCTCCAAGAGTATCTCCCTCGGGCCAATATCATAAGATGGGCGCCGTAATCCTGAGGCCTCCTAGAGGCTGAGGGCAGCAGTATGCTCCAGCTGGCTCTCCCCAGCCCAGGTGGGCCAATTATTCAATTTTTAAGAATTTCGTTGGAAGCCAGTTGTTAAACACAGCCATTATAATTATGTAAATGTGCAAATTAGGTTCAAAACAAGGACAATAAATATTCAAAACTCAAAAAAAAATCAAAATGAACTAAAATTAGTTTCTTTTTGAGAGTTTTTATAGCAAGAAATAACAGTTGTGTCTAAAAATAGTGTTTATATTATTGATGTAATACTTTCATCATAATAAAGAATATTCATAAACATGAGTGTGGGTAATAAAAAGAACACTAAGAACTTTCAGATATAGGGAAGTTAAGGTGAAGTGATCTGAGTAGAGCCAGAAATGATGTTTCATGTTTTAATAATTAACTGAGAACTGTTTGCAGATCTCGTCTCTAGATTGGGCCTAGAAGGTTTGTGTAGGAGTTGGAATTCTTTTCTTTTTTTTTTTTTTTTTTAATTTTGAGACACAGTCTCGTTCTGTCGCCCAGGCTAGAGTGCAGTGGCGCGATCTCAGCTCACTGCAGCCTCTGCCTCCTGGATTCAAGCGATTCTCCTGCCTCAGCCTCCTGAATAGCTGGGATTACAGGCATGTATCTCCACACCCGGCTAATTTTTTAGTAGAGACAGGGTTTCACCATGTTGGCCAGGATGGTCTCGATCTCCTGACCTTGTGATCTGCCCACCTTGGCCTCCCAAAGTGCTGGGATTACAAGTGTAAGTCACCGCACCTGGCCCCCGAGTTATTTTCATTTAGTTAAATCTCTGTGACTTTTTTCTCCTAATAATTGGAATAGCATATATATATACAGGTAAACAATGTGAACACTGAACTGAAAATTTACAAAACTAAGGATTGGATTTAACTCTGCAACTTTCAGCAAAATCTTTCACCTCTGAATTTCTTTTTCCCTAGCTATAAAAGTCAAGGTCTTGGACTAGACTTTTAAGGTACCTCCTTTCTTGAAGCACTGTCCCAAACAACCTTAAGGCCTATCAGCAGAAGATAGGTTAACTTAATGATCGCAAACTGAGACAACAGGCTGCTATGAAGCTGTTTAAAATAAATGAGGGAAGTCTGTTAGTACAGATGGGGTATGATTTATTCATCCATCCACAAATTTTGAGTCCTTCTATATGCCACACACTATTCTTGGTACTAGGAGTACAGAAAAGAACATACCGATACAGAGCTTACATTATAAAAAGAGAGCAGACAATAAATAAGTGAATAAATACCATAGTGTCAGGGAGTGATAAATGTTATGAAGAAAGATGAAGTACTTTCTCAAATCTCTGAGACTTGGTGTAAGGGGGAAAAGAAGATATAGAACATATATGGGACACTTACTAGAATTTTTTAATGACTTTGAGGTTTGTTGCAATTAAAGAGACTGGTGGTCAGGGTATGGCATGGTAGGGAGAGAGCCCTACTCATACCCTTTTGTGCTGTTTGATTTTTTTGGGGGGGTCACATGTGCATGTATTACTGAAAAAAAAAATCCTTAATGGTGTGAGAGAAAATATTTTGGTGATATATTTAACATGCTTTAGTCCAATCTGAACTTTTTGGCTGAGTGTACTAGTCTTTATCTATGTGTCCTGTGTCCTAACAATGTTTAGAAATAAACTTTTTTCACTTTTGGTTTTATCAGACTTTTCCTTTTAATATGTACATGCTTTTTTTGTATTAACATTTGCAGCGCTAAAACTTAAGTTTATATGTAGCCTTCTTTAATGTGTTTTAAATATCTTAAACAGAAAATTTATCTAAGTTCTAAACTTTTGAGTAAGCATAAACGTAGATTGCTTACTCAGTGTCTTCCTTAGGATAAAAATTAAAGTTGCTGACATTTTGTTTTATGTTAAACTGGAATTTTTATTTCATTTTTAATGTGTTTATTTTTAGGCTTCAAACATCACTGAACTTGGAAAACTCAAATTGAGATCACTTTTTTTCTCCTAAAAAAAAAATCAGCTTGCTAAGCATCTTTCCTGATTTTTATCTTTGTTCTTTTCTAGTTGGATGAAAAATCTGACAAACAGTATGCTGAAAATTATACAAGAGTGAGTATATAAATTCCTGAGGGAAATTATCAAGGTCAATTAAACTTGTTATCTGTGACTTGTTCATTATTTATTTTACAACAGTTGGTCTGATGTAGCTGCTCTTCCTCTCTTCATCTATTTCCTGTCCTTGACCCTCCAAAATTCCTTCGAAGTTAGATCATGTGAGGCCCTGGGAAGAAAAAACGCACTGCATTTTATTTCTTTGAATGTCACCTCTTTAGCTTTTATCTGCTTTTCTGATTTTCATTCCTCTAGAAATTGATCCTCAGAAGAAGCCAATAAACACTGAATATGAAGTTTCTTTAGGAATGGTAGTGACAAACTCTGAGACTTTGTTTTCTTTTATATATAAATTGTTTCTTGAAGTAAAATACTCCTTTCTAGGATTTGCTTTGTGTTAAAGTCTCTTTCTTCTGAAAGTATTTTTAGAAAGTCAGTTAGGGAAATGATTTATCAGAATTAATTTTATGCTATACCCAAGAAAGATAAATTAGCTCTGTCCAGTAGAAATATAATGCAAACCACAAATCTGAACTTATATGTAAGTTTAAATTTTCTGGTAGCCACATTTAAAAAGTAAAAAGAAACAGGTAAAATTAATTTAGGTAATATATTTTATTTAATCCACATATCCAAACTATTTCAACATATAATCAATATAAAATTACTAGGCCGGACTCGGTAGCTCACACCTACCCAACACTTTGGGAGGCCAAGGTGGATGGATCACTTGAGGTCTGGAGTTCGAGACCAGCCTGACCAACATGATGAAACCCTGTCTCTACTAAAAATGCAAAAAAAAATAGCCAGGCATGGTGTTCCATGCCTGTAGTCACAGCAACTCCTCAGTCTGGGAGGCTAAGGCAGGAGAACTGCTTGAACCTGGGAGGTGGATGTTGCAGTGAGCCGAGATCTTGCCACTGCACTCCAGCCTGGGCAACAGAGCGAGACTCCAACTCAAAAAAAAAAAAAAAAAGAAAGAAAGAAAGAAACAAAACTAATAAATATAAAATTATTAATGAGATATATTTTATTCTTTTTTCTACACTAAACCTTTAAAATCTGGTATGCATCCTATACTCAACTCTCAATTTGGACTAACCACATTTCAAGTGCTCAGTGGCTAATTGTAAGTATACTGGACAGCACAGATTCATGCTGTTTATTAATCAATAGCATAATCTCACATTTAAACTAATTTTGGGAAGAACAGTCTACATAAATAGTAATATCCAGTGTTGCTGCTCTCCAGTGCAAATAGTGTCTTTATCTTTATCAACAAAGTATTAGAGAAAGAAGAGATTCATAAGCAGTTCAGAAACTAAAAAGGGGAAGTGCTGATTAGCATATTAGTTATAAAATTCTAAAACTGCTTTAATCTGATTTGCTCACTTCAGTGGATAGCAAAGATAAACTTAGAAAATAAACAACCCTCATAAAAACTATTTTCTTTTTGGTTATGATGAATTCTAGATTCTGATAAGGTATTTGTGTTAATGAAATTTTGCTTAGTATGCTTGGCCATTCTCTGGATACCTCTTCCCACAAAGCCAATCTAAATTGACCATTGATTACACATGATAACTCACTCATCTGAAGGCCACATCTTCTCCAACCACCCTGCCCTGTTTTTAGTTTCCATAGCAAACATATTTTTTAAAGAAATGAGACTTAGAAGTGTCATTTCTCTTTGTAGCCTTCATCTCGAAATTCTGCCTCAGCAACAACCCCTCTAAGTGGAAACTCATCCAGACGAGGAAGTGGGGACACCAGCAGCTTAATAGATCCAGACACCTCATTAAGTGAATTACGGGTAAACTGAAGTTTTTGGTTTTCTTTTTAAAAGCAGTTTTTTTGACTTCTTGGTAATATACTACAACTTTTAACTTTTAATGCGACTTAGTAGAAATAAGGAATATGATTCTTTTAAAAAAATTAGTACAGTTAAAAAGTATGACTCGGGTGTTTCAGAGTTGAAAGGAAGGAGATTAGTTAATTCTTTTTTCTGTCCTCTCTCCTGAAAATTTGATGGCGTTGGAATTTCTGCTAATTTACAAATGCCAAAAAAAGCACTTTGTAATGTATGTAAAAGTAATTCTCTCAGAAACAACTGTCCATGTTTTAAATGGAAAATATGTGGGTGAACAAAGAACTAGATTGTGGAAATTATTAGTCTTTTGAGCCATTATGGTATTCAGCTGCTTGAATATGGTTATCTCTCAGTTTTTCATACTAATAGAAGTGTGATAATATTTGGGTAACAGAACCTGCTATTTGTGAGGCAAGGGGTAGTCAGAGAAATTGCATTCATTCATTCATTCAACATTTATTGAGCACTTGGCCTTGGAGATTTAAGCAGCAAAACATGTTCTGGCCTTCAGGATTTCCCTGTTTCATAGGGAAGACAAACTGATACAAAACCAGGTGGTGTTATACAATAGTAGCAAGAATAGGGCTGTTAAGGTAATTAAGAAAAGCATCATCTAAATTGGACTAGGAGAAGAGATAACAAAACGCTTTTCAGAAAAGACAACTTTGAGCTAAGGTTTGAAGGAAAAATAAAAATTAACCAGGCAAAGAAATTGAAGGCGGAAGCCTTTCTCAAAGAGATGCATTCAGAGAACCCATAAAGTTAGCTGTATAGCAAAGTTGCCAGAAGGTAGGATGAGAATAACAGTACCAAGAGTGAAGGCTGGAAAAGGAGTGCAGGGTCAAATCACAAAGCATCTTGTATTCTAGCCTGAAAGGAATTCAGTTTTACCCTGACAACTATGGGATGTTAAACAGGAGAGCAATACTATCTGCTTTGTGTTCTTAAAAAATAACTTTGATCACAGTCAGAGGAAGCATTGCAGGCCAGAAGAGCAGTAACTCTGTGGTTCAACTGTGAGGATGAGGTGAGCAAGTCAAAAATGCCAGGGGAGAAAACGTAAGAAACTTGCTCTGGAGTGAATACGAGAGACCGGGAAGTGGCTGGGCAATAGGTAGGGAGAGAGAAATTTAAGAAAATGTTTTTAGCTTTCTTTTAAAGATGAGATTGATTATTTATTTCTTTGGTTGAGTTGAGCCAGTTGAGAGAGAGCATGAAGGTTGAGGAAGAAGAGAAGGTGACTGACAGATCAAAGTGCCTCAGTGGGTGAGAGGAGAGTCCAGGACTTGGATGGATGGGCTTGCCTGGCCTGGAGGCCCCTCTTCACTGACACAGTAGACGA